AGGCTAGCAATGAATCGATGATATCCTCTAAATACCATAGAAGGTATGAGAATATAGGTGATTTTGACAATTGAATTATCCCCTAAATGCCAAATGCAAGATTAGATTTATTATTTAATAGTACAATCTAAATTCTGAAGATTTATAGAACATATAATATAAAAATCCACTAAGGAAGAATTGTAACTATTCAAACTCTAATATGAGATTTGATGGACTATCTTGAAGATATTTAATATTGTAACTTATCTACCCCTATAGTCCTCTGAAGGATAAAATTTATTTGTGTTGCACAACTAATAAGTGGTTATTATGCATGAAGCATATTGCTCTTCTTTATACCCATACAATTCATAGAAGAATTATGAGCCAACTTTTCGAAAGATATAGTATTGTAGTATTGCATACCATTAATTAAGTACACATTTATGTAAAGTGTGATTTAAACAATGAAGTTCAAAATTTGATTTTATGAGGGGGAGCATATTTTTATTGAATCTACCTTGAAGGTACACTACTAGAATTACAAAGATCAAGTAGATCATATATTTACTAAAATACTAAAGTTTATGTATAGATCATGGAGATCAATATCTATTCATGAAGAATATAATATCCTGAAGAATACATGACCAAGAAGGTTAAATATTGTACTCTTTTTCATTATGTGAGTTTTTACTAGAATGTTTCTCACATAAGATTTTTAATGAGACAACATGTATAAAGCAATTAACGAATGCAATGTACTCTTTTCTCCAAGAACCGTTTTTTTCACTGGATTTTCGGATGGAGTTTTTAATGAGGCATATGTATATCGTGGTAATCGCCCAAAGGGGAGTGTTGTAAAACATACGGACTCTATCCTAGAAGGAAAAAGAGAAGGATGAATCCTAATCCTAATCCGTTTGCATGTGGGCTCTTACTAAACTCTTAAACCTTGGCAGGACTATATATATGTGGGAGCTCTATGTTGTAAAGTACCAATATTGAGAGAAATAAAGAATGGTCTTCCTATCTTTTGTGTCTGTGTTCTACTTTCATCTACTGTGTTGATCGTGAGAGACGAAGAGAGAAAAGTCCTAACCGCTGACAACATATTTTATAACATTTTTAAGGAGCATGTGCTGTGTTGAGGAAGCATCTAGTCCCTTAGTCTCCGAAACAGTTCATAGTTTGTATGGCAAGAAGACAATTAATTAAAATTTATGGTACTAAATAAGTATCATTAGATTAATAATGTAATATATTTATATATTGAAATATATTTAAAGACATAAATATTCATATTATATTTTATAAATTTTATCAAATTTAATTCTTTTGGACTTAATCAAAACCTAGAAGTGTGCTCTTTTTAGAACTAGGGAGTAAAGTCTAACATAGGTCATTACTGTTTGGAACCACTCATGAAAATTTGGTGCCTGTTTAGTTCCCAAAATTTTGCAAAATTTTTCAAGATTCCCCATCACATCGAATATTTGGACGCATGCATGAAGCATTAAATATAAATAAAAAATAAAACTAATTACATAGTTTAGACGAAATTCACGAGACGAATCTTTTAAGCCTAATTAGACTATGATTGGACACTAATTGCCAAATAATAACGAAAGTGCTACAGTACAATTTCCCAAAAAATTTCGCCAACTAAACAAGGCCTTGAAAGGTTGATTGTGATTGCTTTTACATTTTTATACAATACTCCATCCATTCTCAGTTATAAGATGTTTTGTTTTTTCTAGATACATTAAATTTATTATATGTTCAGCATAATGTACATTTAATTTATATTAAAAAAGCTATGTATAAAAAAAGCTAAAATATTTTATAATTTAGAATGGAGAGAGTAATATACTAGTATGTACATCCTCGCAAAAAAAAACTTGTACCAATACGTGTATATCGTATGTGTATGATTGAAGAAGTACGGCACGTTTGCTGTCACATTTGCCTTTTGCCTTTGTGTTTTCTTTTTCTTCAATAATCTCCTTTGCCCTGGGCTTTTCCCTGCCCTTTGCATCTTCTAGCACGTTCTCCAATCTCCATCCTCTGCACGCCCCCATCCTCTACCCTGATTAACTACCCTTCCAAGAAACAAGCACAGGGACAAAAGCCCCTGAAGCAATCATCAACAAATCAGCATCCTCCAACTCCAGGCTCCAATCCAACCGAGTATCCAATCCGGTTGCTTCTTCTCCGACGCAACCCCAGGCTCGCGGCAACCGCCAGTAGGCCGTACCTCCCTCTTTCGCAACCGCCGCCACGGCCACGCGCAGGTAACGGTCGGTGCCATTCTCGTCCCATCCTTCCCGACCTTTTCTCCCGGCTTCTCCGCTTGTTCGGCTGCTCTCGCCTGGTGCTGGTAGATTGGGTGCTTCGGCTTCCTCTGATCCAGCGGCGTTAGAGGATCCCCGCGGTGTATTCGGCTGTGGGTTTCGATTATCGATTGGTAGTTTTGTCAACCATCTGGAAGTACAGTGGGTGCTAGATTGCTAGAGATATTTAGTTTTCTTTGCGCTTCGATCTTAGTTTTTGTATAAAGTTCTAGTTTTTCGGCGCTTCCAGTCCATGTGGAATGCAACGGGGGATTGATATCATGTAGTTGGCTGTAACAGTATGCATTTGTTATTGTTTTGTGTTATTTGCACTGGCTCCTGTGTAAAATTCAAGATACATGCTATTAAAAGGATATACTCCCTCCATTCTAAGTTGTAGCTCGCTTAGCTTTTTCATAAGTCCAATTTGTCTAACTTTTGCCAAGTTTATTATTGAGTTGCATGCACGGACCAGTTCAACCCAAAAGTTTAAGCTCTTAAGGAAAGGTGAACAATTCACTTATCAACACTCCCCCTCACGTGCACGCTCCCTCATGCCTCAATCGTGGAAATAAGAGTCGTTCACAATTATTTTATTTAATTACGCCTGTTAGGATTTGAACTCGAGACCTCTGGCTTTGATAATTGTGCATTTATTTGAACTGGTAGGCGTTAATATATTGTTCTTAGGACATACTAAAGTGAACTGTAATTTGGATCTGAACTGAGGGAATATCTGAAAATGATATCGGTGAATGGTGAAATTGTCTGGTGGTAGGGCGTCCAATTATTACACCACCAACCGAACCCTGGGTCTCGCAAAAAAGGGGTCTTGCTGAGTGTGTTCCTGGGTGGTCCAGCCTTGGTCTCTTTTCTCGTCCCTGTGTTGTGATCCTCTTCTTGATGCAATGTCTCAGGGGAGGTCTTTCTCTCTTTCCCTTAGGGATCAAGTTTCCTTTTTAACGTAAAGATGCATAACAGGTGGAAATGCACTAGCTATTGCAAATGAGTGAAAATGGGTGAAGGGGTGCATATCTGGATATATGATATTTTCACGAAAGCACTAGTCACCCATGATGAAAATCCCAATTTTCCTGAAATATGTTTCCTCTTTTTGTGCAATTCCAAGTGGCGGAGCTAGGGCTCGGACTGCCCTAACTGCAGCCCTGGCTCCAAGCCAAAAGGCAATGCAAATCCTCTAGAAATTCTACAAATTCCAAAAATATTCAAACAGCTTGATCTTGTATTAATACTTCTGGCTCTGGCAACACCCCATTCCACTGGTTGTTACACACCCAATATTCATACTATCTATGGGACCCTAGATACCATGAGACACTTATTATTCATTCTATTATTCAATTTTGTTTGTTTGTTTTCCTTTCTGTTCTTAATTAACATGCATCTCCTTGGCTTATTAATAGGTGTTGACTTGATAGATCAGATCATGGATTTTCCTGTTGACCCAATCATATCAGCTAAGGCCTATAAGTATAAAGCAGAACTACTTTTTAAGGAATACTTGCTAGCAGATTCATATGTTTTATACACTTCTGTGCTCGTGGGGCTCCTGATGTGCAAGTTGGTACTGTTATTTACTCACTCCGACTTTCATCTGTTAAATTTGACGCTTAATCTTGCAGTGCATTTATGTGGGACCATATTTGTATCTGTAGATGGAAACAAAATATATGCGTAAATTGATAGATCAGCTCAGTTTGTTTGAGTTTCATTTCGAACCTTAGTATTCATTACTTGATAGATCAGCTCAGTAGTTTGTTTGAGTTTCATTTTGAACCTTAATATTCATAACTTGATAGATCAGCTCAGTGGTTTGTTTGAGTTTCATTTCGAACCTTACTGTTCATTATCCAATACATGAATCAGCAAAACACTTTTAAAGATTGTGAAGCCTTTTTTGTGGCAACCTGTGCAAATCTTATTTTTCTGCCTAATCCTTATTTATAGTGGAAAAGAGAAATTAGGTAAGGCTTATAGTTCCTTTCTTTTTCCAGTGTGAAAGGTAGGCTTATAGTTCCTTTCTTTTTCCAGTGTGAAAGGTAGCTATTTTTCTTGAATTTAGCTCAATGTGTTCTAAGCTGTGCATAAATGGGAAACATTTTGAAAAGAAGAATCACATTTTTGAGCTAACACCTAATGCAAAATAATTCTTTGAAAAAAGCATTTGAACATAACAGTACGATGTTCGTTTTCTAGGATATGTATGGTAATTGCATGTTTTGCATTGTATAAGAGAAAGCAAAATACATGGAAAGTGGATGCAACTTAAGGCAAATGTGGACAACAGTTCAAAAACAAAAGGAATTTGAACTATAAGATCTTTTCTAAGGCTCAACCAAGTGGCACAGCTAAGCTAAGAGATGACTCAACTGCATAACACTAGCTGTAGTGTTGTTTTGAAATCTACAAATAAACAGAATCACTGAGAGTTGAAATAACTCACGTGTCTCAACAGTATGATGTTAATACCAGGCATAGTTTCAGAAATTGAATATGCTGATGATACATTCTTCAAGATAATTTTCAGATGATCTGTAACCTCGTATAACATACTAAAGCCCCATCTAATATCTTGATTATTGTTTGTTCTTACTACTTCAGTCCTATGACTTCACACACATAATCAGTTCTGTCTACTTCAAAGGTTATGACTCTCTTACAAAGATGAAAAAGATTGAATGGAACAACAGGTGAGATTAGCATTGCAATTTATCCAGCAGGTTATCTATAAGTTTCTGATGATGCTTGATCTAATCCTTCTCTGTTCCAGAGGAATGTCCACTGTCCATGCAGTATTCATTACAATGATGTCAGTATACCTAGTCTTCTTATCAGATTTGTTCTCTGATCAGCTGGATGATCCAGTAACGTTTCGGAGTTCACACCTCTCCAATTTTACATTGGGGGTATGCTATTACTTTGTTGACACTGTTCTAGCAGGCAGGTTTCTTTGTTGACATATACTCCATCTGGTCACCAAAACTTACCGTTTAGGACAAGACTTGGTCAAACCTTAAAAACTACAAACATTACTAACTATTATATTATTTAGTTTGGAAGCATGCAAATTATGTGTCGATTTGTTTTCAAAATACTTGCAAAATCTCTTATGTTTGAAATATTTTAAGAATATATAATCTAGAAGAAATTACTGTTCGAAGATATGCATTGAAGACCATGCAAAGTCAAATGTGTCAAGTATTTGTGACCAGAGGGAGTATATTTTATGTTCCCTGGTCTCATATGACTCAGTTCTCCTTTTTACCAGGTCTCTGTTGGGTACTTCATTGCAGATCTTGCGATGATATTTTGGTTCTACCCTTCTCTTGGTGGTATGGAGTATGTAAGTAAACATGCTACATCATGATGTTGCGATGTTTGTTACCTGGCTATCCACCCCCTCTCGTCTCTCGTTTTAACCTAGACATATTGCTCTCATTTGCCCCCTGTAGACTTCATTATCTGCTTGCAACATTTACTCCTGGTGTCCTTTGTCAGGTTTTCCACCACATTCTGTGACTTGTTTGTGCTGTATATGCTATGCTTTCTGGGGAAGGACAGTTATACACATACACGTTTCTCATCTCTGAGACTACCACCCCAGGAATCAACCTACGATGGTAAGTGAATAAATTAGCAGGTCACACAAAATGTTGGTTGGATGTTATCTTTGAATCCATCTAAGCTGTTGTTCTACCTCTGTCTACCTCTGTGTCATCAAGGTTCCTTGATGTTGCTGGAAAGAAAAATTCCAAAGCTTACATCGTCAACGGAGTTGCAATGTTTGTTACTTGGCTGGTAAGTGCCAAAACACTTCACTTGTCATTTTCATTACAATGACACTATGACAGTAGATTTCATCCCTAGCAATCAAGGGTAACAGCTTTAACTGGATGCAAATTTTGTTGGCCTGATCAGTATGGTGCCTTTTTGTTACGGCTGCACATTGGATCTCAAATCTCATTGTATAGTGGTTTGCAGTGTGCTAATGTTGAAAGAAATTTCTTAATGCAGATGGTCAGGATAGTTCTGTTCATCTACTTGTTTTATCACATCCTTACAAATTATGATCAGGTATTTGGTGGTTCTAATGAATTCAGTACACAAATTAGACCACTCATATATTTATCAGTTGGTAACTTTCGTTGACAGGTTAAGCAGATGGACACTTTTGCTTGTGTTCTGATATCTGTTGCCCCCATCATTCTATTCACTATGAATGTAATATGGTTTTCCAAGATCGTAAAAGGTCTCAAGAAGACACTTGCCAAAAGGCATGCTGAATAGGGGAATGTGCATACATGTACATCCACGACCATCCATTCCATCTGTACATTCACTTACAGCTATGTACAAATTTAGTCACTAATGCAGATATGCTGGTAATTCAGCTTTTTCGTTGTGACTGCTCAGCTTGTTTTCTGCACGCTCTATGGTTTTGTGTATATGTTTAGGTCTAACTGTGTGTGATTAATGTAATTTTAATAGTTCATCGATTTGTAAAGTTAGCGCTTTTATATCGGAAAATTTAGGTTTATGCGATAGCTTCAAATTTTTCACATTCAGATTTCTGAGACTTCTGAGACCATGGTCAATACCCCCTGTTTCAGTCCCATTTTTGCCCTTTCCCATTAATTTTGACCATGATGGAGAAAGAAGCTAAGAAAGGCAATGAAGTTATCAACAATAACAAAGTCTTTTAGTTACAATCAAATTGGGATAGGCATTAGGCAATAAAGTAAATAGCAGCGGTTCCCTTTTTTTAATTAATTTTACCACTTTATTCTTGATATCGTTATTTGAGTCTATTCATTAGTCAGAATTGGTTAGGAACTTGGGATATATTACAAACAGATATAAGGTTCAACACCATTAAAGCTCAAGTCTGTAAACAATGTCTAAGCTGGACATCAAAACCTGAAACCAGGAAAGCTTTTGCAGAAGTTTCTAGTGTGCGTATTTTTCATATATTATTAGTCTTGAAATTATAGATACCATCTGTGGGTTCCAACATGGAAAGGAAATACAGAAAGAACATATATTATTCTTGAAATTATAGAGACCATCTGTGGGTTCCAACATGGAACGGAAATACAGAAAGAAATAATTCCAGGATCCCAGAATAGAAGTACATTTCTAGTACAATCAACAAATGCAAGTGTCTGTTGGATTAGCATTGCTCTCTATTAACAAAGACAAATGGACGACACTAAAGGTTGTTGAAGGTGTCAGGGGGGTTTCAAAATACTATGAACCCTCCTAGATACCAGCTAATGAGATGCTTGGAAAGTGCCCTCTTGACATCAAAAGTAGTCCCTTTATGTTTTGCTATGTTGGCCATGCATTGCAAAACCTGCTACACAAACACTGAAATAGTTGTTCGAGCTCATCTTTTAATTGCATAATATGGATACATTTGGCTACTGTCCACTACCTGATCATTCATCTTATTTGGCACCAAGTACCCTATATTGATAAATGTAAATTTTCAGCATGACAGGCATCATTGAGAGCCTTTGATCATCAGATAGCATATAGCTGAAGCTAATTTCCAGCCAAGAATGCCATTGAATATTATACTTGCAAGTTCAATATCTTGATTGTGATGAACACAACTTTCTAAGGCTTATAAATAGCCCAAATTCTCCTCTTATGCTGTATCAGACATTCAGAGACACACAATATGCATCCTTTCATTCAGATGTACACCATTGTTCTCTGCATCATATCCAGCTTCTTCAGCTGCGATGCAGAAGATACCAGACCACCCCAGACCCAGAGCAGCCTGGTTCTTGGCCTTAGCCATGTCAGATCCCTGTATACCCCATCCATGGCACTAGTGAACTCCACAAGCTATGACTTCTTGGACATCATAGAGCCAGTGACAACATACACAGATGGCTACCTGCTGTCCCTGAACCTTGGCACTCCTCCACAGGTCTTCCAGGTGTACCTGGACACAGGGAGTGACCTCACCTGGGTCCCCTGTGGCAGCAGCAGCTACCAATGCATGGAGTGTGGGTCCTCCGTGAAGCCGACTCCGACGTTCCTGCCGTCTGAATCCTCGTCGAACACGAGGGACCTCTGCGGGAGCCGCTTCTGCGTCGACGTCCACAGCTCCGACAACAGGTTCGACCCGTGCGCGGCGGCGGGGTGCGCCATCCCCGCCTTCACCGGCGGCCTGTGCCCCAGACCTTGCCCTCCGTTCTCCTACACCTACGGCGGTGGAGGACTGGTCCTCGGCTCCCTCTCCAGGGACTCCGTGACGCTCCATGGGAGCATACACGGCAGCGGCGGCGCCGGCGCTGGCCCTCTCCCCGTGGCCTTCCCTGGCTTCGCCTTCGGCTGCGTGGGCAGCTCCATCCGGGAGCCGCTCGGCATCGCCGGGTTTGGCAGGGGCGCCCTGTCCCTGCCGTCCCAGCTCGGGTTCCTGGGCAAGGGCTTCTCCCACTGCTTCCTCGGCTTCCGGTTCGCGAGGAACCCCAACTTCACCAGCCCGCTGGTGATGGGCGACCTCGCGCTGTCGTCGGCGTCGACGGCCGCCGGCTTCGTCTTCACCCCGATGCTGACGAGCGCCACGTACCCGAACTTCTACTACGTCGGCCTGGACGGTGTCGGCCTAGGAGACGACGGCTCCGGCGGCTCCGCCGCCATGGCCGCACCTCCCAGCCTGAGCAGCATCGACGCGCAGGGCAACGGCGGGGTGCTGGTGGACACCGGGACGACGTACACGCACCTGCCGGACCCGTTCTACGCGTCAGTGCTGGCGTCCCTCATCTCCGCCGCGCCGTACGAGAGGTCCCGCGAGCTGGAGGCGAGGACGGGGTTCGACCTCTGCTTCAAGGTCCCCTGCGCGCGAGCGCCGTGCGCGGACGACGAGCTGCCGCCGATCACCCTCCACCTCACCGGCGGCGCCAGGCTGGCGCTGCCCAAGCTGAGCAGCTACTACCCCGTGACCGCCATCCGGGACTCCGTGGTCGTCAAGTGCCTCCTGTTCCAGAGGATGGAAGACGACGCCGGCGACGCCGGCGGGCCGGCGGCGGTGCTGGGCAGCTTCCAGATGCAGAACGTGGAGGTCGTGTACGATCTCGCGGCGGGGCGTGTCGGGTTCCATCCGATGGACTGCACGCTTCACGCCTAGTGACATCTGTTCGTGATGGTTTTTTCGGCTGAAAAGCCGGCTATAAACAGGATAAATTCAAGCGCGTGCCGCCATGCATGGATGGTATCTTGTCAGTACACGATCGAAAAGTGCGTGCGTGCAGGCGCTGTTTGGTTGTTCGGTTAATCTGATGAGGTGGATCCGTACGATGTGCGTGCGGGATTCGAGCGGCCGTACCGTACGTACCAAATACCAAAGCACTAGCAGAAAGAGATCAAGGTGGTGTTTAGATGCGAAATGGGTTGAAAACTTTCTGCAAAATGTTTTTAAGGTGAAAACCCAATTCTGCAAAAAAAATTCAGACCCTGTTTAGATGTACCTGAAAACTTTTGAGTTGTAACAAAAGATGACAGATTTGCCCATAATAAATGATGCTTTTGGACCATTAATACCAGTCATGCACATGCATGCTATGCATGCTGCTCGGCACATTTGCATACACAGAATCACTCATACACAAAAACCATATAACTCATGTACAAATGTTCAATGTCACAAGTCCATCACAACTGAAGGCACCAATCACTCATAAGCATTACAACATAAGCATTACAACATATAACAAACCAATTACTCATACACAGAAACCACATCACTCATGTACGAATTTTATGTCCTATTCATCAAAGCAAGCGCAATTGAGTTACGGAAAGCATTCATCAACGCAGATTCATCCCTTGACGACGAGGCCTGAGTTTGTGGCTGCGATGCCAGAGCTTCGGGTGGCACATAATTCTCATCACAATCACAACGATCAAAATCCTTGTCCACTATGCCACTGCTCCTAATAAAATTATGCAGTGCCATGCAAGCTACTATTATTTGGCTTTGCACATGAGGTGGATATCTCGGCATACTCAACAAAATCCTCCACTTCATCTTCAAAACCCCAAAAGACCTCTCGATGACATTTCTAAGAGACGAATGTGCAAAGTTGAAGATTTCTTTTTTACCTTGAGGTTCCTGGGCATGACGATACTTCGGCAGATGATACATGGTTCCCTTGTAAGGTGCAAGGTATCCTGGCCGGTTTGGATAGCCGGAATCGACCAGGTAGTATTTACCTGCACATCACAACCAGTTAGTTAGTGACCTCAATCACAAGTAATCTGGCCATTCCATCTTGATGGGTGTTTACCTGTTGGTGGGTGTGGAAAGACATGGCCGAAGGTCGTAGTGGCATCAGTGAAAACTCTCATATCATGCACTGATCCAGGCCATCCAGCAAACATATCACTACTGTCTACAAATCTAACAAAGGAGGGTACAAGTACCTTTGTATTATTTTCCCACCAATCTTCAGTTGCTATGACACTCCCATCCTCTCTACGGCCAAGGCTTGATTGAGTCTTTAATTTCTTAATGAACCCATACAAGGATTTCAGTTGCCTGTACCTACTACCAAGCTGTTCCTTATCATGAACCAAATTGGTGGTTGCTCTAAACCGAGTTAGAACCTCATCCCACCCTTTTTTGGTCATGTTCCCTCTCACGCAATTGCCCTTATTGATCTGTTGACACCACAGGGTGCACAGGACACCTGTGTTTGGTCCATTCCAATTGCATCTATCTTTTTTAGCCTAAACCAAATTGGAACATAGATACGTACATACACATCATGCATTCGGCAAATGAAAACACGTGAAAATGGTAAGCCAGCGAGGGAGGATATGGTTCATACCGAGGCTCGAGCGTTCCTAGTGGGCGCCGGAATCTCTTCGAGGTCGTCTTCTTCACCATCTGCGACCGGATCCACGTTGAAGTTGTCATCCGCCATGGCTGCCGGATGAGTTGCCGGAGAATGGGACCGGCGACCGCGACGGGGAACCGATCCAGAAGGTGCGGTGGACGAAAATCCATGCGTGCCGCTGCCGGAGAGTGGAGGCGGCCGTGGGGCACGCGAAGCGCCGGAGTTGAGGCCCACGGGGCTGGCCATGCCGCCTCCTCCGCCGCCAGATCGAGCCGTCCGAACGCCAAGGGTACGCCCGGAGGCACGGACGCGCACGGGAGAGGGGGAGAAGCCGCCCTCGCCATCTGCTTCGTCCTGGCCATAGCGTAGGAGGTTCTCGTACCTCCCCATTCCGGGCCAAGCCTCGCCGTTGGAGTTGAGATCGAGGGAGGAGAGGCCGGCCCGTTGAGCGCTGATGGAGCTTGAGCTAGGGAACTGCGCCGGCGGGTCGGAGTAGAGGTTGAAAGCCGACGAGTGCTCCGGTTGGGAGAAGAAATCGTGGGTGCCGTCGTCGTTTCCGTACCCGCCGTCGTTGCCTTCGAATCCATCCATGAGCGCTCGGACACGGCTTGAAAGCCCGATCTACGCGCGGAGAGGGCATGGCCGGCCGCGGTGAAGGAAGTGTGGGGAAGAAGGTGAAGGCTGGCGATGGAGGAGGTGGGGGAGAGACCGAGAGGAGCGGCTGCGAGGGAGATCAGCGCGGCGACAGTGGAGGAGAGTGGCAGAGATGGAGATGGGGAAAGGAAGAAGGAGAGTGGCGGCCGAGCGAATGGATAGGGTAGGGAGGGAGCGGGCGAGGGGTGCAGGCGCGTCCAGGCCGCGGACCGAGGCGAAAAATTTCGGATTCGGGAGTCTGGAGTCCAAAATGTGAAATTTTTTGGAGGGGAACTTTTTGCACTTTTCACACCCATGTTTAGTTATATTTTGTAAAAAGATGACCCAGAATCCAAAATTATTTTGCAAAATAGAGGAACTAAACATGGCCCAAGTTGGGAAGTGCATGGCACGAAAGCAGGTGGCGTGCAATGGGGAGTCGTTGCTACCTTTTAGATTCAGAGACGCAAATAAAAGGCACTTTACTTATATCTTTATTGAACGGAATTTGTGGTAAAGCTTGCGCACGCTTTTCCTGGTTTGATCGAAGTGCTGTTGCTTGATCAGGTTAAGGTACAATTGATTCATAATGCATGTCCTTTGCTTTTATGAAATGTCGATGGCGACCGGGATTCAGGCCACAATGAGGTAGTCGCGATCTCTTCTTCTAGCACACTAATAAAATAAGTCTGAACCGTACGACAAGCAAGTCGTTGTAGTATAGTGGTGAGTATTTCCGCCTGTCACGCGGACGACCCGGGTTCGATCCCCGGCAACGGCGACCCTTCTTTTTTGTTGTTGTTGTTGTTGTCGTCGTCGCTCATCGCGGTTTCAGAACGTGTCAACGTGGGCTCGGGCGCTCGGCCCGAACAACGGAAATGGAACGTTTCGGCGGAAGACTAGTAAATATTTCAAACTATTTTTTATCAATAAGAGTATTCTATATTATTTATTAGATAAATTTTACACTAGTTATTTTCTGTTTAAAGTGTTTCGAGACTAATACTAGTGTAGTAGTAGAAAGAGTATCTTATTTGCTCGAAGTTCAAACAGCTTAGCTTTAACCGTGTAATGGTCTCACATTATTGGCCTATAGAGAATCAAAGTAGAATTTAGCAATGAGTCACGAATGCTATGGTTTTTCCATATCATTTCTGAAGTTATTCAAAAGTAATTCAATAACATCGTGCACCTTTTCTTATTGACAAAAAAGGGAAGACACAAACACACCCGTGCCGTCGTGGGCGATCGCATGACCGCTAGTTGTGACGGTGAGTAGGATCATGATCATACACATCGATAAGAAACCAAAAAAATCCTAGTACCGGTTTGGATCAAGCATCTAGCTATATGGTTCCAAAATTGGCCAAAACACATTCAGCCTGTTCGCTCGTTGGTTTCAGCCAGGACTTATCAGCCAGCTAACAATGTTTTTCTCTCACAACAAACCAGCACCAGTCGGACTTATTAGTCCAAAAACCAACCAGCGAACAAGCCGCTTTGCTAAAGAATCATCGAGTGTTTTTTATCCATTCTAGCATCATCGTAATCACATTATGTGCCAGACCTATTTGTCTCTTAAACGTGTTGTTCAAGGTTTTTACGAAGGTGTTAAATAATAGAATTTTGAAAGTGGCGGATAAATTGATAGGTCCGCCTCAGACGACGTTTATTCCGGGAAGATATATAATGGAAGGTGTTGTAACACTACATGAAACAATACACGAGCTGCATAGGAAAAAGAAAGATGGAGTGATTCTAAAGCTAGATTTCGAAAAAGCGTATGATAATCTTAAGTGGCCTTTTATACAACAAGTCCTCAGAATGAAAGGATTCTCACCGGTTTGGTGTGAATGGATTTCAAAAGTCATATCTAGATGGAGTGTTGCAGTAAAGGTCAATGATAATTTAGGCCATTATTTCCAAACAAGAAAAGGAGTGCGGCAAGAGGACCCGTTATCTCCAATCTTGTTTAACATAGTGGTTGACATGCTGGCTATACTCATTTCACGAGCAAAAGAGGCCGAACAAATCCGTGGAGTGGTTCCGCATTTGGTCGATGAAGGACTCTCAGTCCTTCAGTACGCAGATGACACTGTTATCTTTTTGGACAATGATTTAGAGAGGGCCAAAAACATGAAGCTCTTGCTTTGTGCCTTTGAGCAATTACCGGGACTAAAAATCAATTTCCATAAGAGCGAATTATTTTGTTATGGAGCAGCTAATGCTAATCAATTGGACTATACACAAATTTTCAAGTGTAATGTAGGATCATTCCCTTTTAGATATCTAGGAATTCCTATGCATCATCGAAAACTAATGAATAAGGACTGAAAACATGTGGAAGAAAGATTTTAAAAGAGACTGAGTGGTTGAAGGAGTAAGATGCTTTCGGTGGGTGGAAGGCTTGTCCTCGTTAACTCGGTTCTGAGTAGTCTTTCTATGTTCATGATGTCCTTCTTTGAAATACCTAGAGGAATTTTGAAAAAATTAGATTATTTTAGATCTCGGTTCTTTTGGCAAAGCGATGAACATAAGAAGAAATATAGATTGACAAAATGGGAAGTAGTATGTACACCAAAAGACCAAGGAGGATTGGGTGTCCTAAATCTAGGTGTCCATAATAAATGCCTCTTAAGCAAGTGGCTTTTCAAAC